TTCTTTTGTCTCTCCAAAAACCCGATTCCCGTCCTAAAACCACAGAACACAGCCCTCTTCGTCTTTAAATTATTGGAAATAATTTTGAAGGTAAGAGGACCGTTCAAAAATGACCCTCATTTTCAAGTTTCATTCAGTGTACCCACAATATGAGAGGCTATCCTGGAAAAACCTTCTACCTCTTGAAAGATCTTCCTGGTAGGAACTTTCCTTACCTTCTTCGATAACTCCTTGGATTTTTGATGAGCTGTCTTTGAACCCTTTTAACGACAGGAAATGGAATGATTTTTTTTGGAGTGTCGGGTTTAAAAACCATAATAGCCGAGAATGTCGATTATCATGCGAACACAGGGTCAATCACAGCGTTGAATAAAAATTCCCAAAAATTTTGCCACCGTCCCTCCCCTCCTCCCTCCCCCCGCTCGACGTGTCGATGCGATTCCTAATCACCATACGTGACGAGGTTCCCACGAATACGAATTCTACCCACACCCCTCCCCCTAACCGTCACCCTCACCACCACATCTATTTCGGTAAATTGATCTATAGTGTTTGATTTTGTGACCGGCAGAATGCTCCCAATTCCGTCCACTTTTTTCCTCCAAAACGGTCGCAGAGTGGGACGCGGGAGGGGGTAATTTGTCCAATGAAGCGACAAATGCTCAAATATCGTCCATTTACCTATTGCTTCAGAATTCATCAGAACAGTCGAAAAATGTCAATATCCAAGGTGACCCCTTCAACGTTGCACGACCTCTCCCCTCCCTCCCTCTCCGCTTCCCCCCCCCCAACACCCATCTCTGGGAATCTCATATACGACCCACTATGTCACCATCAATAACACACGAAAACTAGAACGCAACCCCTTTTCCTTAAAAATTTTCCCAAATACAACCTCCGTAAACTATAGACCTACGGTTGACCCTATTTACACGGTTCAAGATCGGACTATTCCCTGGTTGACGAAAGCTCCATTTCCTTCAGAGCCAGTAAACTAGTGCGAAGTAAGTCCTACCGTAATTTTGATTTAGATTTTGTAGGTGATTTCAAATGGTTGGCGCTCATTCAACTGCGTACAAAGTTCTTTGTGGAGGTCATATGAGTGGCGCATCCATTCCTTCTCTTTCTTGTAACACATTCCAGTTGAACGCAATTATTCGCTTTTTTTATCTTCAAGTAATTTCCTATCCAGAAGAGTTATATGAATCTGCTATTACTCACTGAGGGAAGTGAAAATTTCGTCGAGGAAATAGGCCGCACAGTGCAAGCTCCATCCAGCGGTGGTCTCGCTAAGGACCATCGACCTACTTGTATACAGGGGGGGGGGGCCAAAAAAAACATTTTGTCTCCACTTTCAGATGGATTTAAGCACACTTTGCTCAATTGAGACCGAGTGTTCCCAACTTAATATTGAAGAGCACATTTCATTCTATAAGAAAATCTTCATGTTGGCCACCCACGTGGACGGCAACAGAAGAATTTGCCCTGGAAACATGGTGCACTGGTCGAGCTCAATGGGGTCTTCGAAGGATCGTGTACCATAACGACCCTTACTGGAAAGCTAGTTTCGAGGGGATTTGCACAGTGGTAGCTAATGCCTCTAGAAAACTATCCAACATTAAATCGATTCACGAAATTGCGTAAGAGCTTCAGGCTGAAGCTCTTACGGTAGACCTCCTTGAGCCTGACGACGGTGACAGATGACGTCATATTCTGAAGACGGTGAGGGCAGTGAAGGAGGCCTGCGTTCACTATAGAGGGACACTTAGGGAATACTCTGCTGAGGAACTCCCGTCAACGACGGCAATCTCTGCGAAGAAAAAAGGGCCGAAGTCCGACATAGGCAAAATGTCTTTTTTTGGCCCCCCTGTATACGGTTATACACGTGACGTCTGGAAGGGTTAATATGGCATTTTCCGCACTCCTACTTACCTCCACTGCCCCTGTCTCTCTACAATTGCGTTTCTTATCAACACAACCCCTTAGCGACGAATCGTCGACCGCTGTTCACCACGCAGTGAACAAGTTTCGTTAATTGTCAAGAGCGCCAGGTATTATGGTCTACTGCTATTTATTTACCTTCAGTGCTAGGAGGGCCAGGCTTGTCTGGAATTATCATCAGCAGGCGCTTGGCACAATATTAGGGATCCTCTAGGTCTAGGATCTAGAGGCGGGCAGGATTTCCTGAAGATTAAAATAGCTTGGCGCAGGCCACGGAGATCCTCCACTCGAATTTAAATTCCAATTGCCATCATTAATGCCCCGTGAATTGTGATAGCCCTATGAGCAGTGACTTGTACGTCGATTGGCTCTCGAAAGTAATTGTTTAGGCCATGTCCCAAACAGAAAAATAGCCTCAGTTCGAGTTGAAGTGGAATGGCATGGCTCTTGAAATAATTGCATCAATAGCGAATTGCCCTCTCACTCACTCTCTCTCTCTCCCTAGTATACCCGCCACTTCATGGAGCCATAAACGTAGCACTGACCAGGGTGAAGAACGGTCTAGGAATTCCTCGATCATCGCCCTCTGCTGTGCGAGAGTAGAGCCGATAGTGAATGTACGCGGGGAGAGCACAGACGGCTCGCGGGTGGCGAGAGTGAATATCCGCGCGCGAGAACGTAAAGGATCAGGCGAAAATCCTCGACGTGCCGTTGAGGAATCCTCAAGCAATATCCAACCCTGGACTATTAGGCGAATAATTTGCCGAGTTCTTGTCTGCAGCTTTATTTGTGGCCGTGGGTCCTTGTGAATTCCAGTATTCCTTACAATAGGGTGCAACCTTAGTGCTCTCTTCTTCAATTTCTCAGTTCTTTTTGATTATCTTTCTTTCTTGTTGTTCCTTGTTGATTGTTTACTGGTTCCCCTTATGAACCGGCATGTCGTTCTAGACATAATAAAAATGAACAAATAAAGTAAGTAGATAAAACAAACAAATAAATAAATAAATAAATAAGTAATAATAAATAAATAAATAAATGCTATCTAATGTTTTGCCGTCGGGACAAAGCGGACCTTACAAAAACTGTCTGCAGATGCAAATTGCATCTGGCAAGCCTGTTTTCGGTGTTGTTTGGCACAGTCTGCTTTTCTGAGAAGCCCAGGAAATAACGTTATTCAACCGTGTTTACCAGAACAATGCATCTGCTCCATCTATGTACATTTGTTTCACTTTTCCAATTGTCAGGCAGCCTCAACCTGCTGAACCTCAGCGCTTCGAACATGCACTGCACTTTCTCTTATCAAGTCATTGCTTTTCAATTTCCTATCCATTTCCCGACTTCATGTTCGTCGGCCCATCCGTTATGGCCGTTTGTTCTACGACATGCGTGCACTCTCTTTCAGCTGCTATCGTTCAGTGGTTAGAGATGACTTACAAAAAGGCTAGACATCATGACCGACCTCACTGTGGGTTGGTATTTGCGGGGCCACTGAGGAATCTTAAATACGCTCTCGTCCCTATCTCAACAATTTTGGAGAATTTAACGAGCGCTGCGTTGGCCTGCAAAACAGTTCAGTTACACTATCGGTTCCTGGAGAGGATCTTATGAGAGGACCCCCTTAGGAGGTAGTCAAAATTTCACCGCAACATGATGGTTGATTATTTCTAAACCGTTATCAACAGTTGCAGTACACAAGTCGACAACGGATGGAGAGGGGGTAGGCACTGTAGATAAGATTCTCAACGTCATGAATTTGCATCGAAATCGTGCGCATGCCCTGGCAATTTCATCTCATGGTCCAAGGAGTGGTAGAGGGGTTAAGCGATGTTGGAAGATTTACCGGTGGTCGAGAATCTGAAAAAATTTACGATGTTGTTTGGATTTTTTGGAAGGGCTTCTGTTGTTGGTTTTTGTTTGCTTCTCGTCGATAGTTGGCATGTGGTCAGGAATTTTCGAGTTTCGATTTTCGTGTTTTGAGTTTCCAAGCTATTTTGGCAGATGTGGGTTGTGGGTTGGGGACGTCGTGTTGCGGTGCGGAGGGGGAGAGGATAAAATTGGAGCACTTATCGTTAACTGTTCCATTAGACATATCTATGCGGAACCAGATACTATGCTAACAATCACTGTAGTGATTTTAGTGTTGGTGATGGAAAGTTGTTGTGTCGTACATTCAAAGCGTACGGTAGGGGATTAAATCTCGTATAATTTCTGAAATTTCCACTTGCGTCGTGGTTGACTCTGGGCAGCAGTATTACCTCATTAGATCAATTTTTCTTCTCGTGCACCTGTTTATGCTTCCCCTAAACAAACATGGCAACGTTTCCATTTGACCTTGCCCCTTGCCAGTGAGCTCTTTGAAGGAAACCGATATTTGGACTACGCAAGCGTTCCACTAGTCGCTGCGTCATCTACCTGGTAGGATCACCTACCCTGGTGTTGTTGACCCTGTCAGGTAGAGAGGGAAGGAGGGGATCTTTTCACGACCTCCCAGCACCGCCATCACTTCAGGTCTCCCCAGTCTGACCATCCCCCTTTCATTCCCACTTCGCAACCTCACCGAACATGCGCTTTCATAAAATTGTTTTGACATGCAAGTTCGGGCCACTCAACTCTGCCACATTTTTCTCCCAGATTTTATCGAGCTGGAGGAGGAGCAGAGTCAATGTTACTGATGGAACAAAGCATTCTTTGAAGTTTTTCCTGATCAAAGAAAACAACCTTCAGATACGATCCCCTCCCGCAACCACGACCCTTTCAACTTCTAAATACAAATACGATCTACCTCTTCAATCTTTTGACTCAAAGTTCAACAGCCTCAAATACGACTCCCAAAATCGCAAAACTCCCGCTAAGAACTGCGCGACGCAAGGTTGATTCTGCTGTCTGGGCCTCTATAGTAAAATTCTCTGCATATCTTACTTCGATTTTCATGTACAATTTTTTTCTGACTTCTTTCGAGACTTATTGTAGCAGATCGTAAAAAATTGCTCAAGTTCTATTTCCTTTTTTTCGTCGATTTCTATAATTTTCTCAGTCAGAAATTCTACATTTCAGCGGCCATGAATAATGTCCAAATGAACAGAGCAGCTGTGCAGGACGAGGACCGTATAGCGGCGGTTGTAATTTTTATTGTGAGTTCTGGCAATTTTCATTCCACCGTTGTTTTTTTATTGACGGATGCAATTACCAATAGTAGCTCAATCGCTTTGAGATACGCCACATACTCAACCTTTGTTCAAAATCGTATCAGTTTTTGAATGCGCACCTGGCCAATGCATGTAGTGGCGCCCACAAGCTGATGTTAACTTCACTGTATAAAATCTCACAAAAATTCTCCCACTTATTTCGCCCTAGGAGATGAAAACAGCAGTTTTTTGGGGTTTGATCGCCTATAGACAAAAAGTAGTGATCGGAATCGCTTCCGACCAAGCGCCCCCCCCCCTCTTTACCTTTAACAAGCCATCAAGGGAAGCATCAACCAGTTTTTTTTATTATTTCGTAGCGATTTTTTCCCATTTCGCTTAAATGTTGTGTGCCTTCGATTTCTTTGTCATTTAGAATCTTGTAGAAATGGTCTAAACATCTGAAAGGGCTGTTCCTACTGGGCAATCGTCCTTTTGAATACATCGGGAGGGGGGGGGTGACCTTTTGGTCATTATTGAATATTGGTAACGCAATTTTTTCGACAGTGGGTGAAAAAAATCAGCGATGAAGTTTTAATAATGGATATAGAGAACCGTTTGAAAAAGCTCATTCAGGACGGTTTGACTAGTTTCCTAGGCTGGGGGGGGGGGGTTATTATCGAATCGAGAGATCGGCTAGCTCGACGTGGTCCATTGCACCTTTCCAGCTGACTGAGTTTAATATCTCATTGTCGTTGAACCATGCAGAGTTCCTTGTCTACCGCTTTTTGTTCTTCAATGGTTCCTGGCACACCAGGCGCTTCAAATTCCACCGCCAGGGTGTTGAAATCGGCCGCGCCGAGCGTTCCTGGAACGGATGAGGGGCTGGATTCGATACTACTCCTAGGCAGATAGACTGTTTCGAGGCAAGGCTCGCAGTTAGGGCCTCAGAGCAATCCTCTCCGTAGTGAGGTAGCGCGGTCTCCAAGCGCAGGAATCGTGGCACTGTCATGACTCGAAAATGAGCAACAAAGACGTTAGCGCTTTGCTTTGGCTACCGGACCGCTGCCATTTTTACTTCTTCGCAGAATAGGTCGTGTCTGTGCCCTCTCAATTGACGTGCACTCTCGCGTATTCCCTCTTCTCGCTGCACTATGTCTCGCCGCCGTAGCACAGTCGACTGGACAAGAGAACGAATTCCTTGATTTTAGTGATTCAGATTGATTTTTCTATTCCTTCTCTACCTATTATCGCTCAAAGACTCCCTAATAGGTACCTTTTGCAGCCGGCTGACAGGCGTGTGTGCATTGCAGACTTCACAACACAAGTGACGAAATTTATTGGTCCTAAAATTCAAATTCAATTCAATTCTTATGTCAATTGTCACTAATCACAAATACTGTTTTTATCAACTATCAGCTATCTATATGAATAAATTACATGCCGCAGTCATTTGGGAGACGTCGTCACTTTTGTTGTGGAGTCCGTAGTGCAGAAGTCTCTGACCACTACATAGAACCGATAATTGTACTTGTTACCTGTGGCCAGAGCCGTGAACAACACGGTCCACGAAAACCATAGCGAACATGAGATTAGGAAAACTCGAGATACATATTTATTGATTTTTCAGACGGCATTTATTGGTCTCATACTCAACGCATTCATCGCCATCTATATACGACGCCTCGCAGTACTCCGAAATTCTTTTGGACGACTACTTCAGCTACAGGTGATTGCAGAAAATTGATTTTATCGATTATATTGATTTCCTTTTGTTTTTGATTTCCCTTTGTTTTTGATTATCAAGAGCTGTTTCTGATCGCAGTTCGCCATGCGAAGGAGTGCGGTTTTGATTCCCGTCTGGGGCAAAAAGTTTGCCCATGTCCCAGCATTGTTCTGGAGACACCCCAATGAATTTCAAGTGGTAACAACCCCGTGAACACCTTGCAATTTTACCCCTTTCTGCCAAGTTGTAGACGATCTCCCACACGACCCTCTCACCACCCCTCTTTCCCTCCTTCCCTCTCACTAGTGACTGCAAAGAAATAGCTTCCTAGACTCTATGGAATTTACCCTTGTCGTGGCGAAGCTCTATGGATCAGGCGATATGCAGTGAAATAATTGGCGTTGCGCCATGCATTCAACTGGCATTTGAGATCGTATGGACTCTTGAGCATGTTTGTCCCGTACTGAATACTTTGCGCTCATGATGGTACTTTTGTCGCCTTGTCGCAGCCATTCATCACTCGCCGAGACGAGAAAGGCTTGGTCGGAATAGAAGCAAGGGGGGTGCAAACTGCCATCTCAGTGAGCCCGTAGATGAGAAGCGAAGTTTCAGAAGATAACTGCATTTTCTCTTCCTCTCGAGGTTGAAGTTGCAATTAATCACAGAAACCATTCATAGAGAAATTCCACTGACCTAAAAAGTGATCTCTGGAAAGCGAAGCGGCAGAAGATAACGGCATTTTTTTGGGGATTCTCTCAAAGACGCTGGCAATAAATGTGTGACAGTTTCACAAAATCTATTGAGGGTAAAGTCGCTGGCAATGAATTTTTGGAGCTTGCCTTATTACCAGCATTTTGTTTGTCACAGTGTTGTTTTTCTTGTCAGAAAAGTGTCGAGCTAAAAAAGCCACAGTTTTCTTTAG